ATATAGCATAGTATAGCAGATTATATCAAGCATGAAACAGTATATCATTTTATAGTAAAGTATAGTATGGTATAGCAGTAACATTCTACGGCCCAGGTTTTTACGGTTTGAGTAAATCAATGTCAGCCTCTGATGTGCAAGCCTCCCCCCCTCAACCTCGCATGAAGATAATAATATGTATCCCACTGGCAACTTAGGGTCCTCCATTCATCAGAAGCGTACAAACCCCAAAGCCTAAACCCAAAAAAGGTGAGCTACATATTGTTCCTTACGTCAGCGGTTTTGGAGTCTCCAGGAGGTTGGGCTCAGAGAGCCTCGGCAGGGCTTGATGAGGATTGCCAGCTCCCCGGTACTAATGCCCCCCTTTGTCACTTTATAGATAGCATGAGAGGCGTGTTTGCAAAGACACACATTTAAAGTAAAGCAAATCAAGAACCCTAGAATACCATCAATGATGAAGCGACGAGGAAAGTGAAGAAGGATGCCCTAAACTTTCAAACCCGAACCCTAAACCCCTTAGTCTCGCTTGAACCCCAAAGTCCCTAAGCCCCTAAGTCCCTAAGCCCTAAACCCCTAAACCCCTAAACCCCTAAACCCAAAGCCCTAAACCCCTAAACCTTAAGCCCTAAACCCCTACGCCCTGAACCCCCAAACCCCTACACCCCTGAACCCCTAAGCCCCTAAGCCCCTAAACTCTAAACCCTTAAACTCTAAACCCTAAACCCCTGAACCCCTAAACACCTTAACCCCCTAAGCGGTAAATCCTAAAAACGCTAAACACCCTAAAACCCCTAAACCCCTAAACCCCTAAGCCCCTAAACCCCTAAACTCCCAAACACCAAACCCCTGTTAATTCCCTTCGCTGAGGCCATCAGCACGGCCCGCAGCAACAGGGAAGCGAGGCGTCTTGCCTCGGAGTGGTTCTAAATCCTAAAGCCCTTTAGGCCTCAGGGTTTAGGGTATAGGGTTTAGGGTTTAGTGTAGGGTTTAGGGTTTGGGGGTAGTATTAGGAAGACCCCGGAAAGGGGACCCTTCTTAACCATACTTATGACTCTCTTTTGAAAGGGACCTCATTGAGAGGGTCTATATCCTCACCCTAAACCCTAAACCCTAAATCCTAAACCCTAAACCCTAAACCCTAACTCCTAAAACCAAAAAAAAGCCCTTAGGAGCTGAACGGCTGCACTTTAAACCTTTTTGGGATACTATAATGTTCCCCTATAGAACTGAAAGTGTAGACTTTCTTGGGGCTTATGAACTCAGAAACTAAGAATCCTAAAGCCCTAAACCTGAGCCCTATGTAGAAGCCCCACACTCCCGAGGAAACCTAAGCCCAGAATCCTGAATGCCCTTTGGAACTTTGGGTTTAGGGTTCTGCGTTTAGGGTTTTGGGTTTAAGGTTTAGACTCCACCCTAATTAGGGTTCAGGGTTTAAGGTTGAGGGTTTTGGGTTGAGGGTTTAGGGGTTAGGGTTTAAGGCTCCTGGACCCTTGTAGCGAGAGCCCCCAAAAGCCGAAACCCTCCCCCAGAAAGCCCAAGACCCTCTGAGGAGCCTCAGGGTAGACCTAAACCCCAAACGCGCTAACCTTGAACAGCAACAGGGTAGGCCACTGGGACGGGTTGTTTATGAAAACCGTCGCTCTTCTGGGGAGATGTTGTTTGGTTTTTGGGTGGATCCGCTCCCTACCGAAAGCGCTCAGGTGCTGCTTTAGCTTACGTGGGCGTTTCTCAAGTCAAATGGGCCGTCTACATGGGGAATGGTTGGGTTGCTTATGCTGTCATGCCACTGATGTGTGCCTTAAGTGTAAGTGTGTGTGTGTGTGCGCCATGAAAGAGACCCAAGACCCAGAACCAAGGAACAGATAGAAGCGAACCCGGATGTGCAGAACCGGTGCAAAGGGGAACCTATCTATTTATCTATTTATCCATCTATCTATCTATCTATCTAGAGGTGCAAAGGGGACCCAAAAGGGGAGAACGGGTAGGGAAAAATAACCTATATATGGAACGGGTGCAAAAGGGACCCGAAGAGGTTCAAAAGGGACCCAGAAAGGGAGAACAAAGCAGGAACAAAACCTTCAAAAGGTGCAACAGGGGCCCAACAGGTGCAAAAGGGACCCGAAGATGTGCAAAAGGGACCCAGACAGGTGCGAAGGGGGTCCAGACGGGGAGAACAAGTAGAAATAAAGAACCTTATATATGAAACGGGTGCAACAGGGACCCAAAACAGGGGCAAACAAAAACCCAGCCCGTTGTCTACACAGCGTGGCACCAAGCCGAAAAGAAGTTGCAGATGCCACAGGAGAGGGTTCGTGTGGCATCTGCTCACTTTCCATGATCAAGAGTGAGCAGCAGTCGGCTGGGTACAAGGTTGCTGGCAATCTGGTTTCCACACATCGGCTGGGACTCGGGGTCATCCTCCAGCTTCGGCACGCTGAATCTCGACCGACGAATCTCTCTGAAATTCAGGAAGCGTGCCGCTGCCTGCTTGATTTGGGTCCGGCAATCTTAAACAATGCTTGAAGTGCGCACGTGAAGGTGCTTCTCCCGATTCGTATGTAGGATAGATGATTACCCATAGGCTCCAAAGTAGTTGGTTTATCTTTAGGATCCTATAAAGTAATCCCAAAACCGAACTACCATGGAGCCTCTGATTGTAGACAGCCCCCAGGTCGGACGCTTGAAACCCTGGAAGTAGACCCCACGCCCTGCCCTACTAAAACCTTAAGAAGCTCTAAAAACCGTTAAAAACCCAGGAAAACAGAAACACCCGGAAATTTCTCAAATCCTTATTATACAAGCACGAAACTCCCTCAACAACCCTAAGCTAAAGGCTGAACAGGGCCAAGCTCTCCGCTCAGGCTGTCTCCACGAGCCGCGCTGGTGATGCCCTCGAATCGTTCCTTCCAGCTTCCCACCAGGGTGATAGGGGTTTACGGGTTTAGGGCTAAGGGGAGAATTCGGAACTTGTAGGCGCGGAGATTAGGAGTTTGGGCTTTTCGGGATTCTAGATGGTTTCTACTTGGGGTGTATATATATAAATATATGTATACACGTATATATATATATATATTATGTATATACTATTTATTCATTAACACAATTGTTGGATTGGTGGATGTCGGGCTTCCTGTTTTGAGCCGAAGGGCTCATGCCGGTGAGGTTCAGTGGCTTGGGATGTTGAGTTTAAGATTAGAGTCCTTATGCGCTAGCATGCAACATGCTCTACTTATTCTCCCTGGTCTTTAGTAGGGAATGGGGGAATGGATCCCAATGATAGTGCGAGGCACAGCCGCGTACATCGCACCAGAGATGTATGGCACAAGCGGTATCACACTCAGGTTGACCTATGGGCGGTCGGCCTCACCTTGTTTTGGCTTCTTTTTGACCGGCTTCCTTGGGGACCTCCGCACACTCCTCGCTTTCCTAGCGCAGGGGCAGAGCGGTACCCGGATCTGATGACGCAGATCTTGCGGGAGCCCATCGTGCCCAACGCCTAAAGATGTCGGGCCCGAAACCCGAACTTTGTAGGAGCTGGAAACTCGTAACCTCGATGAGTTGCTTTCCCAGTTGAGTTGATGCTCATGGCAGCTTATCGCATGCATGGGCCAGCCAAGTTGTAACACATCCAGTTTGTGGGAATTCTCCAAGCGAGTGATGTTAGGGCGTGAGGTCTAACCTTCTGAACCCTAAAGTAGTCCCAATAACCCATTCCCCCATTCCCTTGAGGTCTAACCTTCTGAACCCTAAAGTAGTCCCAATAACCCATTCCCCCATTCCCTACTAAGAACCAGTCAGCCTAAACCCTAAACTCCTAAACCCTAAACCTGAAACCCTAAACCCTAAAGCCCTAAACCCCTAAACCCCTAAACCCTAAACCCTAAAAAGAACCAGCAGTCAGACCTGCTCCACTTGTTTGCTCTGATGTGCCTTCCGGAAACCTGAGGTCTCTGGCGGTGAGCCACTGGCAGCAGCTTTGCACCAGACGCCTCGCCCTCAACACCCAAAACCCTAAACTCCTAAACCTTAAACCCTAGCCCTAACCTTTAAACCCTATAGACCCTAAAACCTTGTAACCCCACAACCCTAAACCCTAAACCTTAAAAACCCTAAAGCCCTAAACCCTGACCTTTAACCCCTAAACCTAAACCCTAAACCTCAACTGCGTGGGCTTCGGGTTCATGAAGATTCACATTCAGGAGCTGCTGCTGGACAAAGGGTCCGTGGACCTACCCTACCTAGAGAATCACATGCATACTCTGCATATATATATTCATGCTTACATATGAGGGGTTTAGGAATTAGGGATATGCCCGCCAGCCAGTCACAGACAATCGTCGGGAAGAAGCGATGCCATTTTTTTCCATATGCTGCTTCTTGAGAAGTAGATTGCGCCCTGTGTGTACAAGCAGCCCGTTCCTTGGTTGATGTAGCAATCTGCGTTCCAGGTACGTCTGACCTGACAGACTCATAGCAGGAAAGATGCGGACATCCCCAGATTCGGATTCTGCCTTACAATCTATCTTCCCTAAACCCTAAACCCTAAACCCCTAAACCCTAAACCCTAAACCTTCTATGCATGTCACATCTCGGCACTTTGTGCTGCCCTACTAGGGTCATGTTTATCTTAGGCCTTGCCATGATGCTCTTGCCAGTACCTGCATAGCACTGCAGTGCCTACAGCGCTACAGCAGAAACTGCCACCCAGAGACTCCAAAACCCCTTAATTGATGAAGGTATCTTAAATTATAATAGGAACCGGAATAAGATTTAACGTACATTCCTTAATTAAGGGGTTTTGGAGTCTCTGGGCAGAAGACTTCAATTGCAGGACCCAGAACCCCGAGCCTCAAACCCAGAAGACCTCAACTGACCCTAAACCCTAAACCCTAACCTTTTAAACCCTAAACCCCAAACCCTAAACCGGCTCAAGGGACACACAAAGTCCATCTCTTTTGCCCTTTCTCGAGGACTTCACCGTCTTCAGACAGATCCTGAAGATGACCCGCTATTTCTTCTTGACGATCTTGTTGTTGTGCTTCTTAAGGGTGATGGTCCCGGAGCCCTCCTGGGACGAGTGTAGGAGTCAGTCCCAGACCTTGTGGGCCTCCTTGAGGCAGATCATCACCGACCTGTCCCTAGACCCGGACTTCGCCTCCTCCGTGGGGACGTCGAGCAGAGCGATGAGGTCGGCCATGCTCGTGATGTTCATGGGCGTGACGGGTGACGCGGCGAGGGACACCCTCTCCCGGACCGCCTTCGCCTTGATCACCGCCGCCACCCTCGTTTCCAGCACCCGTATTTGAAGAGAGGGTGTTCCCTCCCGTGCCGCAGCACGATGTTCGAGACGATGGTCTCCATGCTGAACAAGTTGGCGGTCCGCATCCGGGACGGTACCTTCGTGCCGCAGCACATCACGGAGCCCCCCCGGCGATGGTATGCGCATCATCAGAATCCTTTCGTAGTAAGCACTCTAAGCCCTAGAGCCTAAACCTCCATGTGCCCACACAGCGTTTCTTATTCAGGCCTTGCAGCATCTAACACCCTAAGGCTCGAAATAGCCCGAAAGCCTTAAATTATGAGTCCTTAGAGCCTTGGGGTAAGTATCTGCTATACCCATAGGCCCCTAAGTAGTTCCATTTTGGGGATTTCCTTATAGGGCTCTAAACAAAAAACCACAAAAAAGGAACTACCTATAGGGGCCTATGGGTATCCTCAAGGGTCCTAAACCCTAAACCCTAAACCTTTTTTTGGAACCCACAGAAGGGACCCTAAACCCTAAGTAAGTATCTGTTAATATAGGTACACCGAGCCTTGCTTGCGATGTGAAAGGCGCGGCGTGGCAAGTGAGCTGCTTCGCCGAGGGCGAGGTCGCAAGATGGGCCCCAGGTTTCCTAGCCCTACAGGGTTTAAGGTTTAGGGTTTAGTATAGGGTTTAGGGTTTAGTATATGGTTTAGGTTTAGGGTTTAGGGTTTAGGAGTTTAGGGGTTTAGGGGTCTAGGGTTTAGGGTTGATGATATAAATCCTGCATTACCTTAAGGACCCTGAACTGTGGGAACTATGGTATATTCCGTATTATGGGTAATGCAGGGTTTATATCATCAACCGTTGGTAGTATGAGAGAGGCCCCTTAAAGGGGACCCTTCTTCACCCTACCCATGGCTGTCGTAGAAGGGACCTTATTGAGAGGGTCTATATCCCCAAGGGTCCCCTTAATCCTAGGGTTGATGATATACATCCTGCATTTCCCACAAGAAGGAATATACCATAAATCCCATAGTTTAGAGTCCTTCAGGCCTTAAGGTAATGCTAAGCATTTCGATAAACCCTAGACCCTAGACCCTAAAACTAAGCCCTAAACCCAAGACCCAAGTCATCAACCCTAGGTTAGTAGCTCTGCTATGTTTTCGACGTAGTAGTTAGGAAGCCTGTGGACCAGTCTCTAAGGGTTCCTTGGTCAGGTGGAGGGTTTAGAGGGTTTAGAGGGTTTAGAGGGTGTACGGTTTAGGGCTTAGGGTTTAGAGGGTTTAGAGGGTTTAGGGTGGTTTAGAGGGTTTAGAGGGTTTAGGGTGGTTTAGGGTGGTTTAGAGGGTTTAGGGTGGTTTAGGGGTTAGAGAGTTTAGGGTTTAGGTGGTCTAGGGTTTAGAGAGAGTAGGGTTTAGGGTTAGGGTGGTTCAGGGTTGCGAGAGAGTAGGGTTCCTGCAAGGTTTCCTCCAAGGGTGTCTGCAAGGTTGCTGTGCTGGGCTTTAGGAGGGTTTTAGAATACCTAGGTCCTGAAGTGTAGTACCTTCTTTTGGTTACCTTATAGTTCCTTACTTTTAGGATCCTAACCAAAGAAAAGTAATCCAAAAGAAGTACTGCATTTAAGGGTCTAGGTACTGTACTATACCCCCCAAACACCGTTCTCCTTGTTAAGGTCGCTGCATGCATCGTTTTATGTACAAAGTGTTCGATACAATGCTTTAGAGACCTAGCCAAAAGGTGGAGGTGTTCCGTCGGAGTTGTTCGAAATAGAAGGCTCTCCAAAGAAGCTATGTCTTCACTCTTTTCTCTGGGTTCTGCAGAAACACTAAGCCCTAAACCCCAAGCCCTAAACCCTAAACCCTAAGCCGTAAAACCTAAACCCCAAACCCTACACCCTAAACCCTAAACCCTAAACCCTTAACCCTTAAAACCCTAAACCCTTAAAACCCTAAACCCTAAGCGCTAAACCTTAACCCTCAACCCTCAACCCCTGAGCCTCCAAGGAATTCCGGAAGAACCCGAGGTTTCGGGCCTCGAGACTGGGTTCTTGTTAGGGGGTTTTACTTTAGGTTACCATGGATAAAGAAACCAGATGGTTTACTATAGACCCCCATTATGGTAACCCTACACCCTAAACCCTAAACCCCTAAACCCCTAAACCCCTAAACCCCTAAACCCTAACCCTAGACCCTAAACCCATTATGGTAACTCAAATAAAAATCCCTTAACAAGAACCCAGGAGACCTACCCCTTCAAAGCCCTGAGCCTCCACCCTTTGCAATCCCGTAAAGGTTTAGGGCTTAGGGTTTAGGGTTTCAAGGGTTGGGGGTTTAGGGTTTAGGGTGTAGGGGTTTAGGGGTTTAAGGGTTGGGGGTTTAGAGGTTTAGGGGCTTCGGGGTTTGGGTTTAGGGTTTAGCGTCTAGGGCCGCCTTAATCACCTGATAGAACCCTTAGAGTATAGCACCCGCTAACGGAACCCCATGACAGCCCTGAAAACGATCATGAACCCATAAAAACCTCTAAAAGCCTTACCCTAAAGGGTCCATGTACCCAAATCGTATTTACTTTCGCCCCAAAATACCTGTAAAGTATACACTATCCGGGTAAGAAAAGGGCCCTTCAGGTTAGAAGCCGAAGCCATTCGAAGGCACGGCCGGCGGCGGCGCCCACGCCGGAGCCGGGTCGCCGTCGCCAGAGCCGAGACAACTTGCCGAGGCAGGAGCAGAGGACTTACCTACTTGGAGGGTCATGGGACTTAGTAAGTAAGGTTATAAGTCCCTTAATTGGGGTTATATTATAAGTAAGCTTAGATATTGTTACCCTAAGGGTCCCATGGTACCCAAATAGGGTTCCTTTGAGGGTTACTATAAAGTCTCGATGTAAGGGTTCCTTTAAGGGCTCTATAGGGTTTAGGGCTTGAGGGTCCCATAGTCCCATGATACCCAAATAGTATATACTTTGGCCTTAGAGTAGTCCCTATTTGGGTACTTTGGGGCCAAAGTATCTACTAGTTGGGTACATGGACCCTTATATCCTAAACCCTACAGAACCCTTAAAGGAACCCTTAGAGAGAGACCTTATAGTAACCCTTAAAACAAGAAACCCTATTTGGGTACATGGACCCCTAGGGAAGGGTCCTTTCCTCCAGAATGCTCCGGCCAGGAGTCCTACCAGCGCCAGCCACCAGAGGACAAGTGCGCCAAGGGCTTTAGGTGTTTAGGGGTTTTGGGGTTTAGTAGGGTTTAGGGATTTAGGGGTTTGGGGGTCTAGGGCTTTCGGGTTGAGGGCTTGAGGTTTAGTATAGGGGCCTAAAGAATTGCCTATATTATTTTGGGGGTTCCTTCTTATAAATGTAGTATAATGGGCCCCAAAACCCCATTCTAAGTATTAAGGCCTCGTATTGCTACCCGTTTAGGATGATCGTATTTTAGTGGGTTTGTGTCTCCTTCAATTGAGTTTGTTGACTGTGCACATCTTGGTGCCGTATAAACCCTTGAATATGGGTAGTTCTCTAAAACTAGCGTCCCCTTGTCGGTCCCCAACATAGTACGGCCGCACCCTGATAAAAAAAAGACCCGAAAAGGGACAGAGAAATACCCATATGAAAGAAGGAAGATAAACTCTGACTTATGGGGGGTCTCGGAGACTCGGTGTAATGCAGGGACTTGAACAACTAGTACGGTTGATCCTTGAGGGGAGGGTCGTTATTATACTTAGTAGCTGATTTACTACACTTTAGACTTTTTGGGATAATATGGTCCCTTATAGAACTGCAACTGTACGCGTTTATGTGCTTATGAACTCAGCAACTAAGCATAAGCAAAGCATACCTTGCATACCAGAAACCCCCTCTTGTCCTTGCTGAGGCCCCTATGTTCAGTCCACCCCAAAACCCCCCTAAACCCCAAACCCTTAAACCCCAAACCCCTAAACCCCTAAACCCTAAACCCCTAAACTCCTAAACCCTAAACTCCTCAACCCCAAGGCCCCTAAACCCCTAAACTAATTATATATGTGATTTTTTTCATTAGGGTCCCCTTTGGCGGTCCTTTTTCAAAGGGTGGTCCACTATATTGGGGACCTAAAAGGGGACCACAGTTTAGAGAACTACCCATGTAACCCAGTGGGTCCAAAGATACTACCATTGTGGAGTTAGGTCCTTATAAAGACCATTCGAATCATGTTTTTTTTTGGGGGGGGCCTAATTTCAGAAGAGTCGTGTCTTTGGAGCCCTCTTGCATTGGTAACTACTATCCTAAAATCCTCACCCCTGAACCTCAAACCCCTAAACCCCTCAACCCTAGACCCCTAAACCCAGGTTAGGCGGGCGTGGCCAAGCTGGCCGAGATCAACGGCCTAGTCATTTGTCCCTTGGTCTAAGTCTACCGCCGACAAACCCAAAGGGTCCTAGGTACTGTTATGGGGAATACTTCCCTAAATCATAATAGTAATTCCTAATATAGAAACCCTACATTCTACTATACCCTAAATCCTAAACTTTAAACCCTAAACCCTAAACCCTTATACTACTATATGTACCCTTAACCCAAAAGCACCCTATATAGGTACTTAGGACCCTTTGGGAAATGGTTTTTGGCATGAGCTTCTCATCTGAGGTCCGTGCATACGGTTTAGGGTATAAGGTTTTAGGGTTTAGGGTTTTAGGGCTTTAGGGTTTAGATTTTAGGGTTTAGCGGAGTGGCATCAACTCACGCGCAAGCAGAAAGACTCCTGGATGCTAAGCCCTACTAAACATTTTTCGCCCTCGACCTCGGGCTCCAAAAAGACTCAGCATGGCGAAATCCCAGCGCCATGATAACGTGGCATTGCCGAAAGGCTCTCCCGTTACCCTCAACTCCTGCCTTCTGCTGTGGCCGATCCTGCCTTTCATCGGAGAGATGAGCAGCAAGATGGCCCGACATCGTGACACTTCGTGGATTCAGACGCGCCGTTTTGAAGCCTGACCGAGAGACTCCAAAACCCCTTAATTAAGGAATATACCTTAAATTCTAGTAGTATCCCTAATAAGATTTCGGGTATATTCCTTAATTAAGGGGCTTAGGTAGGCCTTCGGCATATTTTATATTTCCCCTTATTGGGCTTAAGAGAACCCTATTTACTAACATTTTTCAGAGGCTTTAAAGGGCCAACCAGTCAATCACCAACGCTACTAACT